AAAGAGGAAGTCCTCCTCCACAATGTGCCTGGCCAATCATACACTGCTGTAACCTGGAGAGGAATTATTTTTTCTTCCCACCACCAGCCAGCAATCAGTTAATGCCCTCAAGCACAAGATTATGCACTGTAATTTTTAACTAAGTTAGTGGAACTGCAAACGTGTCATCCATTTGAAAAAAAAAAAAAAGCCTGAAGGAAAAAAATGTGCTTGACATGACATTCCTGCATCCTTGAATTACTTCCAGTCCACTCAGTCACCTAAAACAGACGGACTTTGGCTTAGGCAAAAGTCCTAACAGCTTATTACTAAACAATTTTTAAGGGTGTCAATCAGATCAAGTATAGGTGCACTTGGATGTATGTGTATGGCTCTCATCTTCCTCTTGGGTATTTTTTTTTCTTTTTAAGATCATCAGGGAAGAGGCTGAGTTTGGCATCAACGTTCAGGTTTAATAGAGCCACTGCTAAACGCTTTTTTTTTTTTTAAGTAGAAATCTGACCACCTATCAAATTAAGATTCAAGTTTTCTAAGATGCATGGTTTTAAGTTGTCTTTAGGGCTTGTGAAAGGTGCCCTGCTGAGAGCCGTAAAGGTAAAGCCCTCTAGTTCAGAGGTTCTCAACTGTGGTCTAAAGACCACTAGTGGTCTGCAGATGCCTTCCAGGTGGTCCATGGCTCGAACTCAGCTCCCCCAGCCTCCGCAATCCAACTCGCAGGGAAGAAGTGCTCCCCTCTCCCTCCTTTGGCTGGGAGAACAGCAGCATTCAGACACGCTGCCTGGAGACTTTCACCACTGCTCCCATTGTCCAAAAGACAGCCAAAGGGAGCAGCAGGAGGCTGTGCCAGGGAGAAGGGCAGGGTGCGAAGGCAAGTGCCCCTCCACACCCTTATGCCCAGACCCCCCCTTCCTAGCACCCTCACGCCCACACCCTGCTGAGACCTTGCACCCCCAGCCTGCTCCTACCTCCAGCCCGCTCCTGCACCCTTCCCCCTGGCCAGACACACTACTCCCAGCCTACTCCTGCACCCTACCTCCCATCCAGACCTTGCACCCTCACCCCCTCTTGCAGCCCACCTCCCACTCCTCTCACTGACAGCCCTGTTCCACACACTGAAACCCTCATTTCTGTCTCAACCCCAGAGCCTATGGGGTCCACAAAATCCACTAATCCTGGAACCTCAGAAGAGTAAATCTGGCCCATGGGAAGTCTTGAACCACAGTGTCTCAGTTGGAGGCCACAGGGCCAAATCAGTGAGGGCTGGGGGGTTTTGGAGTGTTTTTCCTCCCTCACATGTGTGGTCCCCAACTGATTTTCCTCTAGGTAAGTAGCCTCCACCCCAAAAAAGTTTTCCCCCATCCTGCCATAAATAAAGAAAACATGGGAACCTTTTGTGTTGGACATAAATTAATATTTTACTTTATTTAGAATGGAGTTTGATAAGCTAACATGGGAAAGTTAAAGCACTTAATCTGTTTAATAATTTAAATTAATATTTCCTTACTTACTGGTTAAATTAAACCGTTCTCCCTAGGCGCAGCACAAGCAAAATGGCTCGCATGTAATTAACGGTAAGTTTCCATTAGCAACTGGTGGTCCATGGAAAGGTTTGGACTGAGCCAGGTGGGCCTTGGGCCAAAAAGTTTGTGAACCACTGCTCTAGTTTTTGGAACAGCAGTATTACAAACTTCCCAGATGCAGTATTACAAACTTCCCAGCATTCTTAGGCCTGCTCTATATTTACCCAGAGATTGATACAACTGAGACTGAACCTCTGGGGGTTGATTTAGCAGGTCTAGTAAAGACCCACTACATTAACTGCTGATGGTGCTCCCGTTGATCCCAGTACTCCATGGGGTTGCAAGGAGAAAGAGAAGTCGATGGGAGAGTTTCTCACGTCAACCTGCCGCAGAGGGGATGCTTAGGTAAATCAAGCTAAGGTACATCAACTCCAGCTATGCTATTAATGTGCAGTTGGGTATCTTAGTTTTCAACTTTCTTCCCCCAGTGTAGACCTGGCCTTCTGCAGTGTTCCCTGTACGCTGTGTGCTTGTGTAGCTGCTCAGGAGAAATTCAAATGCTGCCCAGCTGATTATCAGAGCACCCACACCCAGGTTTTTTGTTTCTATTAGTGGTGAACATTCGCACATGTGCGGAATAAGTTTTTGATCTTCATCCTCGCATGGATGGAAAATATTAGGGAACATTATTCCTATGGTGTAGCTCCTCTGTAAGGCTGGCAATAGTGATTTTAACATCTTACTATTAAAAAATGGACTCAAATCATACTGTCATTGAGCAACCTGATCAGATGGTAACTTTTGGTCACTATCAACATGAAATGGATTTCAATTAGAGGCCTATAGGCAAATGGCTCCCTGTCCCCCTTACCCAATGCTTCATCTGTGCCAGGACTAAGCCCTGGTATTTCAATGTTTGCAAATTCATAGCTCCCTCTGAGCTTGCCATGTCAGTTATGAAAGTAAAAAAGAAATGCTTGAGCCCTGGCACCAAATTGCCCGAGTGCCAAAACCTCTTTCATTACAAGTTAAGCATGGCCGTTAGCCATTCCTTTCAGCATGAAGGAATTTTATGTTACCGGATGACCATGGCATGCTTAACTGCTCTGTTCATTCAAAACCTCTTTTTTTTTAAAGGGAAGGCGGGATTATTCTACATATTGTTTTGAATTCTCTTACAATTTTTGAGATTAATGACCCTTCTTGAATATTTTCTGATCTCTCTGAACAATGCTTTAGTTTCCTACAATGATGTTAGGCTAGTTTATTAACAGCGAGAGATTAATATCCAGAAACATTAGCACCAATGAAATGCAATTTGCATGTTTATATTATATACAACATATCTGAAGTGAGTTTAGTGGCTTCAGAACAAATCCCTTTGGACAAGCCACCCCACCAACCATTAACACAACTGGCACTATGTGGGCATTTCAACAGATAGGAGGGACTGAATAACACTTTCACACCTGGAAGTTTCCCTTCCCAGTCAGGAGGCAGCACACTGATGGTGCAGCGAGTGGGGGTGTTTGGGCTGCTCATGCTGCTAGCACAACACCTACTCTGTGGATAAAATTCAGTCTTAGAATTGCCAGTCAGGCACTTTTTCCATGAGCAGAAAACTCAAGACAGACAAGCATAGAAAGAGAACACAGCTGGATTCCAAAAGGCACCACAGTTGCTTAGTACTGTTAAGACTCAGCCCGATGATGACCCTCAAGAAAGATTTTTCAGACTGTATCTAATACAGGACTAAGCTTCTAAAATTTACTCAAACCCTCCTTAGAACAGTGGGAGTCTGCCCAAGGGAGGACATCCGGGATTCGCCAAAAAATATACATCAATTTAATCTGAGTATTTTATACAAAAACAAAATTGAAGCCACATTGCCAGGCATTCAGTACTTGTAATGCAGTTTCACTAGGTAAGAAATTATATACATAACATGGCTTCCTACTTAATGTATGTGAGCAGGTTCTGGGAAGATCAGAAATTGAACCCCCTTAAGAATACAATTACCAGCAACAAAGTCTACAACAATCTATGATCATGGTAAATCTTTGCACTGTAGCTTAAACCAATATTAATGGGAAGATGTGCAATAGCAGACTTTTCAAGTGGCCTTCTCCTTCCATACAAGCCACCACAGAACACACATGTATTTCACATAGAACTGCAGTCCATTCACTATTTCTGTATGCTGCAACAATCCCAGGCTTGCTACTTGATATAATGATGTCAAAATCACCATAAGGTTGTTAAGAAATTGAAAAAAAAATGAAGATGAAATCTGTATTTGCAATATCAAAGGATCATAAAAAGGAGTGACACTTGAGCACTGGTCTGGCTATCACAAGTAGGCTAGCAGAGACAGCACAGGAATCATGAATTGTATTATACTAGCAAGTCAAACAAGGGCCCTACTGTGCTAGGCTATTATTAAGCATTTGTACAGAGAACTTACAGTCTAGACCATTAGTTCTCAAACTGTGGGTTGGGACCTCAATGAAGGTTTCAACCCCATTTTAATGGGGCCAGCAGGGGTTTTCCCTGTATGGTGTGCACTTGGCCGCCACACAGCCGAGATTCAAATGCCGCCCAGCTGATTAGCAGAACATCCACAGGCTCAGGTTTTTTCCTATTGGTGGTGCACATCTGCACTTGTCTTGGTGCATATAACATTTATTCTGCACATGGATGGAAAAAAAAAAACAACTTAGAGGGAACATTGGTCTCCAGGGGTGGCTCAGACTTGCTGGGGCCCAGGGCTAAACCCGAGCCCCACCACTCAGGGCTCTGGCAGGCCTGACACCAGCTTCTCCCAGGGATACCCCGCGGCGCTAAGCTCCCAGCTGCCGCCTCTTTAAATCCCGCAGCCCGGTCGCTACATTGTCTCAAGTGCGGCATCGGGCGCTACCACATGCGCGCGAGGGAGGAGGGGGAACAGGGTCCCTTCCCGCCGCTGTCCCGAGCACTCCACAGTAGTCTCCGCCTCTTTCCCCTTCCCTCCCCCCGCTGCGAATCCCTGCTCCCGACTCTTTCCTTCCCAGGCCTGGAGCAGACCAACGTGCAAGACAAAAAGGGGGAGGAGGGGAAGGAGGAATGTTGCTCCATAGTCCTGTATTTTGTTTCTGCGGAGAGGGTATTTGCTGAGTGACCCCGCCCCAAAGGAGTAAGGGGGGGGCACACCAGCGAGTGCACATCTTCTCCCCCCTCGAGCGGCGGTACAGTGGTGCGTTCCAGTGAAGGTGACCTTCATTGGCGTTCGGAGAGAAAGCAGCAGGACCATGCGCTGGCCCAGCCCGCCCCGGCTCCAGCCCGGGAGACCCCTGGGCTGCTCCCGGCCGCTGCACCCCGATGCTGAGTTCCAGCCCTTCCCACCCACCTCCTCCACTCCCCACACCCCCGGCCTCCTCCTTCCCGCCCCGATCCCCCCCGCCAGAACCCCTCTTCTAACCCCAGCGCCCCTCCAAGCCCTACCAGAACCCCGGTGCGCTGACGCGTTCGGGCCATTCACAGCCCCCCTCGGGAGCAGTTCGCGATCCCTTATTCCACGTCTATGCAGATGGAGAGAGATCCCCCAGTTTGTGGGGTTTTTTTTTTTTGAGGGGTGGGGAATTAAACAGTAAGCGATGCTAATTGAATTGGATGAGACCTGCTCCGACCACGCAACGAGAATTCGTCCATGGGGGAAGGGGAGCAGCGGGAAAAACAAGAAGGGTGAAGGTTAAAGAATTTAAACTAAGCAAGCAAAACCCCTCCCTGCAACTGAAAAAAAAAAAAATCAAAGGAGGCGGCAGCAGCAATAAAATAATCAGGACCGGTAAGAAGCAGAAGCCCTTTGCTTCCAATCGCTCTTTCCCCCTGTCTTTCCCAGCCACCACTAACCCTCTTCTTTGGGACAAACTGGGTTACCCGATATAGCATGAAGTGTGTGGTAACCTTTTTGGTTGTTAGAATTTAATTTTTGGTTTTACTAAAATCTTTCAGGTCTGCTTTGTCAAAGACTTTTGCTTCTTTTTCCTGTAGGAGTCTCCAGTGCAAATCCTATGCTTCCCTGGTGCTGTGGGAAAACCTCTGGGAAGTCCTGGGGAGATGTTTATTGTGGGTTTTAATGGGACCATGGTTTTGAATCTAGCGGAGAGTTTTCCTTTATTCAAAAGTTGGTAATTAAAACTAAGTAGGTATTAAAATGAAAGCTTAAGAGGGAAAGGGATTGGAGCTACTATTAATTACCAAGCTTTTAGTCTGCCTTGGATAGATCAGCATTCATGATCAAGTCCAGGCTGGACCCGAATTTCTCATGTAAAGAATCAGCCAAAATTAAAAATTTCAGTACTATTATATTGGAATGATATACATCACAGAGCAGCTAAATAAAAAAAACAAAACGGTAAGGCTTTTTTTAAAAAGTACCTCTCTCCCAATTTTCTTCATAGCTCCCCATGTGCATAATCTCACCATTTGTCCCAGGATCTTCCTTTAAACACTGACAGTAAATAAAGCACTGAAGATTTTGTCTTTAACCCAGCTGGGGTTGGTAGATAAAGGATTGGAAGAGCTTTTAACCTCTTTATCAAGAGTTTTCTCCCTCTTTTGAAAGCTGTCCTGCCTTCTTGGCGACCATTATCTCCCATGTATAGTGATATCTCCCAGAGAAAAGAGACAACTTCACCAAATAGGATAAACATAGCAATGGGGGAAGGGGAAGAAATGCTCCCTAGCAAATCCCCCCCCCCTTTTACA